TATATATATTGCAGTTTTTATAATGTCTGGAAAATTTACCAGTCAATACCCAAGACTCAGAAGTCCGGTGCTGGAGCTGAGAGCACCACCAATAGATATTTGTAATGTATATACTTTTGTTCAGAAGTCTAGTGCTGGAGCTGAGAGCACTACCAATAACAGACTATGGACCTTTCTTCACCACAGTCAGGCCTAGGATTCTTCCTGGAAGCCCAATCTAGAAACATTTTGAAGTATTTAATTGAGTAAAACAATTTTGCCTTGGTCTCTCCCCTCACTCCCAGAAGCAGCCCCTGCTGTTGTGGGGAAGTTACTTAGTTTTGGAACTAAATATGATCTTTTGAGTGCTGACTCCAATAAAGGAGACTCTACTGGCTGTAAATGTATCTCTGGTTATAGAAAGCCAATAGATATACATGCAGCTGTGGGTAGATCCTATGAAAGAATGTAAACGAGGACAAAGAAATGGTATTTTTGTGACATTTTATTGATGTGATAGAAGCAGTATCTGTGTCCTAAATCATCTGTGTTGGGTTCTTCCCAGCCTACAAAAAAATTATTGTATTTGACTGTTGAATTCAGAGCACGTTCAATTTCAAACTAAACAGAAAATGAATCTTCCTCTCTTCTTCACCAAACCCATGATTTCTTTCAACTGTTGTTATGTACCCTGAAGTCTTAAGCTACGCTGTTAATTTCAGATGGGGAACACAGTGCTGAAAAGATTAAACAGGAGCTTAAGCAAACTGAGATATATCATGGTTCAGTGCCCAAGCCCTCCCTGCAGCGCCTATGCCCAGGGCCAGCCTTGGTGTCCCCAGCCTTGCCTAGTGATCATGCTCCCCAAAGGGAACTAGAGCTGGCAGAGACAGGGTGATGGAGAGGAGAACTGGGGGACAGATGAGAGGCAGGTGGCCGAGCCAGACTAGAGTGCCCAATAGCTGCGCCCACGCTAGCTCTGGATGTTAGCGTTGTCTTCAATAGGACAATATATTGACCCATATTGGCACCTGTCTTTATATTAATTAGATTACAGTTGAATACTGATGGGGATAAGCTATTTGTAATGTATATGCTTTTTGTTCAGAAACATTGCAAGACAATATGATAAATCCTGCTTCGCTCAAGAACAGCTTTTCTTACAGTTAAGGTTGGAAAGGAGTAGAGAGTGTTGGGGACTTTAGCGTTCTCCTCCAGAGCATCTCAGTCCCTACAGTAATACTCCTGTCTTATTTACAATTTCCCAATTTGACCAGGGAACTTTCACCACAGCCCAGCCTTTTGTGGTACCCTTTCTCTTTTTTTTTTCCTCCCTTTCTCTTATAATTGGTAAGAAATCTCAGGCAAGAAAATTAGGCAGGTTTCCTTGTTCTGTAATTTTGCTTTTAAGATCAGAACTCAGCCTTACGTTGTCTCTCAGGCTTTTTCTACTGGGCTAGTGAAAATGGAGAGCAAATAGATTCTTTCATTTCTCCATAGGCACAGGTCTGCTTCCTGCCTGTCTTGTCTTCCTCTTTCCTCCAGTTATACAACGTTGCTTACTGCTGGGACCTTAAGAAATCAAAGTCTATTTTCTCACACTTTCATTTGTTTATATTTCAAAATTAACTCCTATTGCTTTCAATTTCAAGAATGCATTTTTGAAGTAATTTAATTTATACTAACTGCCAAGGCAGTTGAAACATTTAACCATTTCTTGTTAACCATTATAACCCAATTTTAATTTTTCTTTCTTTTTTAATGCATCTCAAAGTCCCTTCCTTCCTTTTTAACTGCAGCAGCGTGTTGGACAGGTATGTATCTGTTCTTTTTCTATAGCAACATCTCACCACTTTTGCTAGGTGATTCCAGGCAGATATTAGCTAACACTGAACCAAGGGGGACTTCTGGTTACTGGAGGCAGCCCGGGTAGCTGCGGCCCTGAGCCTGTAGTCATCCTGAGAACATGAGAGGACAGGGAGCCTCTCTCCAAAAGCACACACAAAGGCAACCTTTAAATCCACTGCAGGTGTCTTAGTGAATGGCTCTGAAAGTGATCCTGCATTATAGTGTTTTGAAAGACACAATTTCATATTTATTTGCTCCCTTATATCTTTTCTTAATTTGAAACACAAGACTGTGTCTATGTTGCTCTACCTCATTAAAATACCACATTTAAAAAATGTTTATTATATCTAAATAAAACCTTAAAGATGATGTTACACAAATCAGTACTTAACTATAAATATTTATTTAGTGTTAATAGAATTTTCCATAAAGCAGATTTTCTACTGAATAATGAAGCGAACCTGATTGCTTTTGCTTAGAAGTGGAAAATAGGAATTAATAGAGGCTGTGTATGAAACATTTTTTTGCTGCATAGCATGTGTCTGTATTTTATAAGATGCTTCTGATACCTGATTAGAATTGTATTGCTTTATAGGTATGGAACACAATCCTTGGTTACTCTAACCTATATAATAGGGAGAACCATAAGTACAGACCCAGAGGTCATGGAGGTAAGAACCTTAAATATTGGGAAATATAAGGATCATTTAGACAGTACTTTTGATGTAATTTGGACTAAAACTGAAAGTTGTATGATTATTTGAATGATATTTGATTCTTTGCTTCCATCGGTCCTCTGATTGCTCTGAGGAAGAGGTGTCTCACTAAACAGACAGCTCTGTGTGGGGGCTGCGGGGAGGGGTTGACCCTCCTTCTTCTACCTGCATCCCTTCGGTGGCTCCTGGCCCAGTCTCCCTCTGTGGGGCTGCTCATCTAAGCCTTCACACTGGTGCCAGGCACTGCCCAGCCCAGAAGCTCCCATAGCTCTTTATAGTTTCTAGAAGAAAAACAAAAAGGTGTTTTCCTTCACACGTGAAGCCCTTTATGAGCTGGTCTCTGTCCTACTCTTACCCAACACTTTTCCTCTAGCTTTGCGTATCATCTAGGGCTTCTGTGAGCTGAGCATGTTGTACATGCTCTAGATCACAGAAACTCTGTACCTTTTGTCTCGGGTACAGCCCAATCCCTGTTCTTGGCTGGATAATTCCCAATCACCCCTTCTCAGAGATATTTAGTGAATGGATTTATATACTTTCCTCCTCCATGCCCCCAAGCACCTATCCATATCTTTATCGTAGCACTTGCCATGTTATACTGTAATTAGTGTGCAGAGGCATTCTGCGCTGTGAGCTATTGTGGATTCCTTGAAGACTGACGTTGTATCAGCAGTGTTTGTATATTAACACAAGACAGGGCTTGTCATTTCTTCTCTTTGCTTCCCTACGGGCTGAATTTCTTCGTATACAGGCTTCACAGGGAAGCAAGCACAGCTCTAGGCTTATACAACCCTCAGCGCTCTCAGTTGCAGAAAGAGGGATTCTTTCCCACCTGGCTTTGTGTCCTCATTCTGGAAACATATGAGGACTTTTTTTGTATCTGCACAAGTCACTGTGCGTGTGAGTGCACCTGTGTGGAGGTGGAGCACTCTGGTCACTCCGGCCTGGATCGTGTGCTCACACTTGGGGTCTGTGCAGCTCACACCCCAGGCACATGCTGGAATAGGGCAAGTGTGAAACAGAAATGTAGACATAATTTCCACACACCCAATAGGTAAATTAGCAAGAGTTACAGCACCAAATCTTAGTGCTGTAAAGTGTGGAACAATTGTGACCCCTTTTATCTTGCTGGGGATAGTGGAAACAATCTGGCACAACAATTTTGGAAAGCAAGCAGGTGTTAAAAACTGCTAATCAGGTTTTTTTCCTCAAGAGAAATAAGATCTGACTTGTACTGGAATGTTCTACAGCAGCTTTCTTCACATTAGTAAAAAATTGGAAGCAACTGGGTCATGGGATTAGGAAGAGGTAGTAAAACCACACGATGGAATACTAGCCCCAAATAAAAGAAGGAATAAATATGTTTAGTCACACAGCCCAGTCTTGAGGTAATTACATGGACTAAAAAAAAGTCAGTCACATTCTGAGAAATGAAAACTAACCTAGAGTTATAAAGGGTTGGCTTGTGGCTGCCTGGGAGCGGTGAGTAAGCCTTGGAAGGCAGCGAGGAAGAATTTCAAGGTGATGGAGTAAGCCTTGGAAGGCAGCGAGGAAGAATTTCAAGGTGATGGAAAAGCATCCTGTCTTGATTGTGCCAAAGGTTGGTATGATACCAAAATTCATAGTTTTTATCACTTCCCGATAAAATTGTTTAAAATTAAACACTGGGACCTGGTACTATATTAGTAAGTACAGGAAAGGGCTATAAAAACAAGAAAGAAAGCTGAACTCTCCCCAAGCAAATAAACAAATAAATGCATAAGTCCCAGAGGCCTGAAATGTGCTCTGAAGCCTGTAAACCAAAAGAAATAAAGCTAAAGGAGAAGCAGCAAGTTATATAGCTGTGATAATGAGAGACGGTGACCTGCCAATTCCTAAGGAATTATCTGTCAGGGTTTAGTCCAGATGAGGCTGGGCGGTCAGGACCAAGGATTCCCTGTAGAAGAAAAAGCTTGCAAGAGCATGCTGGGTGTGGAAGCTCCCTGAATCAAGATTGAGTTGCATTTGCTATCTTATTTTTCCTAACATATATTTTACTATATATTTTTATATTCTTATTAATGCCTATTAGTTTTACAAAATGTTGGTTTTCAACATAGTATTTTATGCATACCTATAATGTACATTGATCACATCCATCCTCTAATATACCCAAATAATCTTTGCCTTTACAGAATCCAATTTTGTTGTTTTTGCTTAAAAATGAATGAGTCAGGCCATGAGATTGCTCGGTGAACTAAGCACCTGCTTAGGCAAGCTCAGGGACTGGGGTTCACTCCCCAGCACCACATGCTGTACTGGCCCAGCCCCCTGGCATGGTGGCACACATTTGCAATCCCAGCGTTGGGGAGGCTGAAAACAGGAGGCTCACTATGAGTCTGAGCTGCATAGTGAGACCCTGTACTAAATAAATAAAAAAAAAAAGAATGAATATGGCATTGTATAAATTTAGCAATCCCCAAAGTTCTGAAACTTTATAGCCACAATTGGTCTTTGATGCAAAAGTAAAGATAGTGGTAGATTATTGCAATTTTGAAAACAAATTAGCTACAAGAAATATCTGTGTCGAATGTATCAGTGTCTAGCAGTCTTACTAGATCACATGAGTTCAAAAGACAATAGCTGAATAATGGCTAAAATGTGAAGGTACCAAGAGATTATCTGAGTCCCTCATCCCTACATGCCCTTGCAGCTCCTATACACCCTCCACACATCTGGCCCCCGTCTTGTTGATGCACGCTGCCACAAGTCTGGCCTCGCTCATGCCCTCAATTGCACATGGATTTCCCTGAGGTCCCACAGGCTCTCCATTCCCCTGCCCCCACCATAGCAGTCCCATTGCGCACACGTCACCTGTGGCATGGAGCTGTGGGCATGTGGCTTCTGCCTTCTGCAGGTGTGGGCAGGGAAGGCAAAGGTGAGAGGCTTGCTCCTAGCTCTGCAACCTACTTTCTTTTAGAACTTTACTTTGCTATTGTAATTAAGTTTACAAGCCTAATTATTCAAGTGCCTCAGGGTTTAAGTGAACATTTGTGATGTGGTACGGGTACACTATTATAGTGATAGGTGTTCTCACTAACGCACTCATTCAGAAATAGGCTTTTGGAATATAATTCATCATTCAGTTGGCATCTGGTTTATATATAATATTGTGGCAAATGTTCCAATACCTGAATGCTTAACAGTGACAACTTAGCCAGGGGATGAATTCACTGTCAAAATATGCTTTTAAAGGCTGGCCAAATAGCTCAGCAGATTAAAGCACCTACAAGCAGGCGCAGGGGCTGGGATTCGATCCCCGGGCCTGCTGTGGTGGCCCCAGCCCCGCAGAGCACTGAGACGGCAATTGAGACTGGGCATGGTGGCGCGCGCCTATAATCCCAGCTCTTGGGAGGCCGTAAATAGGCAGATCACTATTAGTCCGATCTAGTAGTGAGACCCTAAACACCCTGTAGACTCTTCCCTAAAATACAAAAAAAAAAAAAGCTTTTAAAAATTGTTTTTAAAAATTTAACTGAAACATAAGAATTATACAGATTTATATGGTACCCTGTAATGTTTCAAACATGTGTAAGGTATAAATCAGGCCAAACACGTATCTCATTATCATCTCAATTATCTTTTTTTTTTTTTTTTTGTGGAACCGGGGATTGAACTCAGGCCCTTGTGCTTGCCAGGGAAGCACTTATTCCACTGAGCCATCTCCCTCGCCTCACAATTATCATTTCTTTATGCTTAAAATATTTATAATCCTATCTTTTAGCTTAAAAATTCTATATATTGTCATCATGTACAGCCATTATACAATAGAACACCAAAAGTTGTGCGATGGAACACAGGACATCTTTCACCCATAAGCCATCACTCAGTGCCCATTAATCAACCATATCTATCCTGTCTTACCCATACTCTCTCCCAGCCACTGGGAAACATCCTTCTACTCTCAACTTCTATGACATCAACTGCTTTCCTATATGAGTCAGAACGTGCAGTACTTGTCTTTCTGCACCTGGTTTGTTTCACTTAATGTTCTCCAGTTCCATCCACATTGCCACAAATGCATTTCATTCTTTTTTTATTGTTGAATAGTATACTTTTATGCATATACACCACATGTTCTTTATTTATCAATTGTTAGACACTTAGATTTTTTCCATTTCTTGGTTTTTGTGAATGGTACTAAAATAAAAACAAGAATGCAGATGTTTGGTAGACTGATTTCATTTTCTTTGGATATCTGTGTCAGGCATGTATCAGTGTCCAACAGTCTTACTGGATCACATGAGTTCAAAAGACAATAGCTGAATCATGGCTAAAATGGCAAGGTACAAAGAGATTATCTCATATATAATAGTGAGATTATTGAATAATATGGTGGTTCTATTTTTTAAGGAACTTTCTGTTTTTCATAAATTCTTGTATTAATTTATATTCATACCCCCTAATGTGTAAAGATTCCTTTTCTATATCTTTTCACCACTTCCCAAATTTTGTTTTGCCTTTTTTTTAACTAGTGATTCTAACTGCAGTAAGATAATGTGATTTTAATTTACATTTCCCTGATTATTAAGTATATTGAACTTTTTATGTGTAATCATTGGCCATTTGTAGAGTTTCCTTTGAGAAATTTCTACTGTATTTAAATCTATCACTCACTTGTTAATAGGAGTTACTGTCACCATTATTATTCTCCTGTTGCATTTTCATAGTTCCTTATATATTCTGGTCATTGACCCCATCTCAAAAGTGTAGTTTGCATGTATTTTCTCCCACTTTATAGATTCTCTTTTCACATGTTTAATCATTTGCTGTGTAAAAGCATCTTAGCATTGTGAAATGCTGTTTGTGTACGTTTGCTTTTTTCCCATTTTTGCAGTTTTAGGCAAAAATTCCTTGCACCATTGTACTATTCTGAAGCATTTATCTTGCATTTTTTTTCTTGTGGTTTCATAATTTCAGGTCTTATATTCAGGTTTTTAATGTTTTGAGTTGATTTTTGTGTGTGAGCACAAGGGATCAAATGTCATTCTTCTTTGTATAGTTATCCATTTCCCAGTACCATTTACTGAATGTACGGTGCTAATTGCAATGTATGTTATTAACACCTGTGTCCAAGATCAATAGGCTGTAAATGTGTGTGTGTATTTCTAGGCTCTGTTCTGTCCTATTTTTGGCCCTTGTTCTGTCTGTTTTTATGCCAACACAGTATCATGCTCTTTTACTTATTATAACTTTGTGTTTTGAAAGTAGGTACTATTATGCTTCTTGCTTCTTCATTTTGTTCCAGATTGCTTTGCCTATTTAGGGTTTATGTATTTCTATATTAATTTTAGATTTTTTTCCAGTTTTGTGAGGAATGTCATTGATACTTTGATAGGTTTTATATTCAATCTGTAGATTACTTTGGATAGTATGGACATTTCATCAGTGTTGATTTTTCTGAGTCGTGAATATGGATATCTATTTATTTTATATCTTCTTTGATACTTTATGAGTGTTTTATTGTTTTCATTATAGACTTTTTTCTCTGCTTTGATTAAAAAATTTCCTGGTTTTTTTTTTGCAGCTACTGAAAATAAGTATCTTTCCTGCCTCTTTTCAAGTATAATTACACTGGTGGCTTCTATATGTTGATTTTGTATCCTGCAACTTTGCTAAATTTATTACCTTGATAGTTTTTTAATGGGTTCTTTTGGGGTTTTTAAATATAAGACTATGTCATTAACAAATAGTGGCAGTTAACCTAAAATACTCAGAAATATGTTCTTGCTCACTGGACCTTCCATTCGTATTTAATTCTTCTGAACAGGTGTGGTCCTCATCTTACTGTCTGAGCCACAGACTCCTCAGGGACACACAGCTAGGAATATACATTCCTGCTCATTCCAGACATCGTCCCTCCTTCGCAAAATCACACTTGCAGTTGGCGAGAACTTCGTTTTCTGTAAGGAGTGAGGCCGCACTGACAACCCTTTCTCTGTCCTTCCAGCTGCAGCAATGGTTCAGTCACATGCTGGAGGAGCGCCAGAGGATTTCAGTTCATGCCAAATTGCAGAAAATAAAGAATCAAAATATCAAAAACAAAAAGCAAAGCGCCAGGATAATCGAGTGGCTCCGGAAGAACATATAGTTTGTGGCTCCATCCAGCACACCTCCTGCATATTGTGTTCCGTTTGCCCACAGTTTGTCTCGCAGGTCTTTGTGAGTCTTGAGAACCGCATGCTTTATTTGCATTTCAGTCACACGCCGTACTCTGAGTCATGTTCTTCCTATGCCGTCATGTTTGGCCCTGAGGCTGAGTGATTGATGAGGACTTAGTCAAAGCTGTTGAATTTCTGAGGAAAATTACAGGTCACATTGGACAATAAACCCACAGAATTTACTTTAAGTGCCTTGTAAAAACAAATTTCCCTAAGAAAGTCTTGCTAATTCTGTTGCAAAAACCGCAGAGTATTAAATCGTTGCCATTAGCGAAGAGCACATTCTCTTCTGAGGAAAATACGTGCTTGCAATACTCTAGGGTTTATTTAGTTCAATGTTGAAAGAATAATGAAACAACATGACAGTGTGAAGAAACAGAAACCAGAAAAATAATGTTCACTAGAAGATACAAAAGCCAAAGAAGAGCAAGTTTTAAAGATAAAAAGCGAACTATTTTATCAGAGGTATAAAATGCCTTGAAGATAAGAAATGCGCGTGTCTCTCTCCTGCAGAAGTGACCGCATTGAAATGTATTGTGCTGGAACTGAATTTTATGAAATTATAAAATGATAGCATCTCGCCGCGGAGCTGAAGGCTCTGTCCTGCAGCGCTCGCTTGTTCACATGGGGGATGGGCTCTCTTTCCAGCCGAGCTTAGAAAGACAGCAGTAATTAGGAGCTAACCTTTAGGACAAAGAGAAATCTTCAAATGAAGAGGGAAACACAAATCAAAGGCTAACAAAAGTATAATCCTTAAAGCTGTACACTCAGGGGATTAAGTTTGAAATGTAGTTTCATTTGGTCAAATTGAATCTACTTGCACTGTGAAACAGTTCAACTTAAATAATTTCATCAATTGAAATGTATGGAATTAGTTAAATTTTATCATATTTGATTAAAATAGGACAACTGAGGCAAATCATTCCTGCTTTAAATTTTGTGTATACAATTAAATCATTCATTTTCTCTTTATATTTTCCTTTGGTGTTGTTCTTTTGAGACAGGGTCTTGCTATGTAGCCCAGGCAGGGCTTGAACTCTCCATGATCCTCCTGCTTCAGCATTTCGACTACTGGAATTACAGGCGTGCGCTACCATGCCTAGCTTTTGCTTTGTCTTTGTAGAGTAGGAGCAAAAACTGCACATCTCCTATCTACCTCAGAATAAAGTGTAAGGAATATGCTGTCAATTAATATCTTTGAAGATGTTATATAAACTCAAGGCAATGTGATCTATGGCGCTTTTCCTATTTTTTATATAAATTATGTCAGCCACAAATTAAACTGCAATATAGGGTCAGGGATGTAGCTCAGTGGAACAGCACTTGTCTGGTAAGCCCAAAGTCCTGAGTTTGATTTCTAGTACCAAAACAAAGCAAAACAAACCTAAAGTACAATACAAATTTACCTTTACATTTCCTTCACAAGAGGATGCGCTTGTTGTGTCTTAGCTTCTGTTGTAGTTAAACAATATTAAAGGTGCTTTGTCTACATCAAATGCCCAAATATTTAATAACCATTCCTCAGAATATGAAGAATTGTAAATACATTTTTTTAAAACTTGGATGAAGCTAGTTATTCCAGATAAGCACTACTTATTGTACCTTCCTTATACTTATTGTAAATATAAATAATTACCGACTGATTGCCCTGGTAGTAGCATTAAGGCAGTACCAGTGAGGGAGTAATACCAAGACATATTTGTCCAAATGCAATAAATACTCTATTAGCCCCTAAAACCAACAAATCTATTAGTACTCCAAGTATAAAAAGGTTTCCCTACCCCAATTGGTTTACTTATAGCACTCATCCTAAACACAGTTAATGAAGCATACAACATATTCATTATTTTTAAAATTTTAGCTATTAGAAGTTAAGAGTTTTCCTCACAATCTTATGCTTTCATTCCTCCTCAGATCCATTCAGATACTTTGTATTGTGACATCAAATACAAGAGCAAATGCCTTAATTTGATATTTATGATCAATTGTAATCAATTTAGATCTCTGAGGAAAATCTATACAGCAATGTATTGAGGTATGAATGGAAGATTTTCCTTATCTTGTTTTCTTAAGCAAGCTTGTAGTTGCTTTTCCTACTGCATACTCTTTGTACTAGTAAGAGTCAACCTTTTCCCCACCCAAACTCTAGCAGGATTAATGTGCATAGCAAAACCTTAATGGGGATTTACAAGTAAATATAACTGCCTCTCCTGCACAGCCAAGTATGTAACATAGTAGCATTTGATACAATACCTGTCGTCACTGTAGCTGGCTTTCCCTCTAATGCAACCAGATCATCAAAGATGATCTTTCCAACACATAGTTAAAAGCATTTTGACTCTTCTTCATACATACGTCAGCCATCAGGGCAAAAGAGAATGAAGGAGATAGCTGCACCCATGGGAGCCAAGGAGTGGCGGTGGCCCGTGACCTGAAGTGGGCATAAGAGCCTGATTGGAGCCAAGAAGTCCATACAGAGGGAATGATCTCACACAGGATTCGGGACCCTACACAGGGTGAAGATAGTGACACATGGTGGGGAGATGGGATTGTGATATGGCGAGCCAGAGCCAAACAAGGCATGTAGGACTTCAGAGAGGTGGCCTTCAACTTGCAGGGGCAGCTAGAACAGGGATATCAAATCCCAGAAAATTAAGATATCCAGAGTTTGAAGAGAGAGTGGCCTAGCAATGAGGTTTTAGAAACTCAGGAGGATGAGGAGGGATATGGAGGTGCCCTCTGCATCAGGAGAGGAAATGAGCAGTGGAAATTTGGCTACCAAAGCCATATGGACCAAGCAAGAAAATAAATACTATCAGATCTAGGTTTGTCACTTCTGGGGCAAGGAGTAACAGATATTCAAAAAAGAAACTAGGACAAACTCTGCTTTTGGATTAGGGTTGGTGGGAACTCACGGTTTTCAATACACAGATTAAAAGTATCTAAAACAGTAATGGCGAACCTTTTACAGCTTTCAGTGACAACATGAGTGCTATAAGCTTACCACCATTGATCTAAAGTGTGTAACAAACATCTGTAAATATTTATGTATATTTTGTCTTTATTTCCTTCTATACACATACAGGTAAATGTATAAACACAGACTCTAACTCTTGTGCTCAGAAGACCTGGGAACATCAACACCCTTGTTAGGGACAGAATGTGCCCTCCCACAGACATTTATATGTGAAGAGCAGTGACCATCAAGTTAATGGTGTTTGGAGATAGGATCTTTAGAAGGTAATTAGGGTCAAAGGAATTTGTGCCAGAGCCCTGGTGGTGTGATTAGCGCCCTTAGAAGATGAAAGATGCCAGAGCATTCTCTCTTTCCATGTAAGTGCTGTGGGAAGGCAGATGTCTACCAGGCAGGAAGAGAACTCTGTTGAGGAACAAAATCTTCCACCCCACTGACACTGGGGTCTCCAGACCTGTGAACAATGCATCTGCTCTCCCCCCACCCCCAGACTATGGTATTTTGTGATAACAGTTCAAGTTAAGACAACCCCCATAACAAGTGCCAGATCTCAGCTTTGAAATACTGTTCACCACTAAAAGAGCTACAGTTCTGTGGAGAAATGACTAATTCCAGCACTGAGACAGGAAAAGTACCATTATATGAGGCATGTTTTTGTAGCAAAAAGCGAGGAAGTACTTAGAAGAGGAGAGAAAGAGCATAACAGTGAGCTTGAAGAGACCCCTGTGGCCAAATTTGGGGAAATCTGAGTGTCATTATAATAAGGCCAGTAAGAGAATAACGTAAGAAACCAGAGCCTGTATTTTTGTATTGAAATAATACAAGTTTTGATGAAGAAAAACATATTTACATAATTTTTAAAATACTTTCCTGTAAAATACTGATTAGTTATGAAGGTAAAGTGAGGAATTTATAGTGAAAGACTTGGCAGATCTTACCTAAAGCAAGTGAATAATTTGAACATCAACACAGAGATAAATAAAAGATTTTGTTTCATTTAATGGGATGAAGCAATGAAAATACAATGCATCTTTTCCTTTTTTTCTCTTTTGTAATTTAAATGAAGTAATACTATTCAGTGTTTAACTTTTTTACCAATATTTTTGGAAGAGAAATACTGTCAACAATTCCATGCTGAAGCCAATAATGATGTTTGTTCTTCCAAAATTTCAAATGTACGATCCATAAAACAAAACAATAGTCACATAGTTATACAAAGTAATAGGCGAAGGAGATCGCTCAGCAGCATAAGTGCCTGCCTGGCAAGCGCTAGGTCCTAAGTCTGAGCCCCAGTACCAAAAACAAGAAGTAATGAAAGTCACGTTCTAGGAACTTAGTGCTGTTTGCAGTCTTAGCTGTGCTAATTGTTCTTCAGATAGTTTTTAAAAAATAACACACTGGCTCATTAAAATATATATTTTCTTTTTGCTTTCTTAATTAAAAAATAATATTTTAAAGAAAATTTAAGGCACTCACAGTTGGCTGACCCATCTTGATGTCACATAGAGGATTTAGAAGTCAAGAAAACTCTTTGTAACACACATGATTAGGATCTTTAAGATTTTCTGTTCTTCCAAATAGTGTAAAATATCCATACTTGAAAGTTTGAAGAGATAGAGATACCCTTCTTTGAAAGTTCCATAGGATACTATTGGTGCCCAAGCTGTTCTTCATAGAGTGACAGGGCTTCTGTCAGATTCACCCAATGTTCCTATTGAAATGTTCCCTATCCTGTTTCACTACTTTTACTGAGATGTCAAGAGTCAGTCTAAGAGGCTCCCCTGTGCAGTCTTCTTCTGGAGACTTGGAGATTGGGTTGGCTGTCAAGTCATTAAATACATAATTGAGCTCCTTTCTTTGGTAATGTTTTTTGTTAGAACCTGAGATCAGTCTCCTTTAACACAGTCTAGGATGTTAGCAAATATTTTTCTCCCCTCTTCTCTGCAATGGAGCCCAGGACTCTTGCACTGAACTACATCTGTGGCTTTATTCATTTATTGTTTTATTTAATTTTTGGAGACAAAGTCCTACTAATTAGCTAAATTTCCCAAGTTGGACCCATACTTCTTCTTCCTCAGCCTCCCAGAGCGTTTCGGATTACAGGCCTGTGCCACCCACACGTGGCTTCCATATATTTCTTATATCTATTGATCATCATTTGGCCAATCTGTACCACAGTTACTATATTTGGCTTCAGTTTTGACTATTTCACATAACGTGCCCCCACCTCCACTTCAAGAAGAATACATCTTTGCCACTGCTCTGGATGGTCCAGTACAAATTTCTGCCAGATTAACAACCTCATTAAAGATGAAAGTACTTCCAAACTGCTTCAACTATAGCATTTTAATTTTCTGATAAGGTGGAACCTTCAACATATGCCACTTTATTTTTTATTTATTCATTTTTATTGAGTACAAGGTCTTACAGGGTCTCATTACACAGATTGGATTCATAGTGATCCTCTTATTTTCAGCCTCCAAAGCACTGGGATTATAGGCCTGTACTACCACGCTCAGTCTCAATTGTAGCGCACCCCGGGGATGGGACTGGCATGGCACACCGGGGATCAAACCCCAGTCCCTGTGTTTGCCACAGCAGGCATTTAGTCTACTGAGCTGTCTGGCTGGCCCTAGCATATGCCACTTCATGTTGTACTCCATTACCTCCCCTGGCCCAATACCTGTTGACCACTATTCTTGGAACAATGGCTGATAATTGCTTCTCTGGACCACTACTCTCCTGACTCCATTGTTTCTTCTACTTTATTCAAAGGGTTACACATTCCTCTTCTTCCCACACAGGGAAACACATCGTACATTAAGAGACTTCAAGACTGTAGTCTTAGGGCTGGCGAGATAGCTCAGTGGACTAAAGTACCTGCTTAGGTAGACACAGGGATCAAGGCTCAATCCCCAGCCTGCCATGCCAGCCAGGTCCCCAGGATGCACTGAGATGGCAACTGAGACTGGGCGTGGTGG